CACTGATAAGAATGGAGACTATTCCATTTAATAAATGCTTTATTTTGATATATAAGTTGTGTCGGGTTTTTTCATCTAAAAAACGTGACATTAATTTCTTGACGACCTAATATAATAAACTAAAACATACCATTATTGTGGCATGAACTAAGCAATGAGAGTCCTTTTACAAAATACTTACTAGATGTGGGTAGACATTTAGTGATGATCGTGATGCAATAATTATATCTTTTCTCATGTCTAACAACTCCCAGGAACCTATTTCTTCATCTAGTTATAATAAAAAATATAACTTAATACAAGAACCATCAATGTGGTCGAAATAAATCAAGCATGTTTAGTTTATAAATCACCTGAACAACTAAATTCATCAATATTTACTGTTTTACTAGATTTTCAATGTATAGTTGAAATAAATTAAAAAAAAAAGTACAAACACAAGCAGAAAAGTATCGTTTACTAAGTTATAACATATAGTTCCTTTCAAAGCTAGAAACATACAATTGAGCTCTACTCGATATTTAGTTTCACACTGTGTGTCTGAGATTATATCTCAAACTGCTAAGACAAAATGCTGTTTACATATATCTTACTTTTAAGCCTTTTTATTATGCAATATGGAGACCCTGAAGTAGGAGTATGCAAGTTAAATATTGAAAAAATGTTTGAAGTTGCTAATGTGTAAAATATTATTACAAAAATTAATAGTATAGTGTGTCTTGTAAGAATATTTTAAGTTTCACATAAAAGTAATATTTTGTTATACCATTTCAATAAAAAGTTATAAATGTATTTATTGCGATGTGCTAATATTTAAGATTGATACTTAGTATAATGAAAGTACTTAAATTTTTGTTAGTTCCTGAGTGTCTAATTTATATTAAATATTAACTTATATAGCAAATTATGCTGAAAAGAAAGAAAAACTTCTATGTTTCCAACATTCCAACAAGCCCAATGTGTTAACAATTGTACTTGTTGGAATCTAAGTCTTAACTACCTCATTTATCAAACATTTATTGTATCTACTGAAACTCTTGTTTTAACAAATGACAAAGTTCTTTGCAAAAAATGCTCACACAAGAACAAAAAACTCATAAATGTTAATTTATACGTAAATTATTATAAAAATTATAATATTATAAAAAAACAACGATTATATCTCAATAAAGATAATTACAAATAAGAATGGAGAAACAACTTAATGAAGATAATGTTACAAGTTTAATATATCATTTTTATAACTTTTATTTTTAACACAAACAGAGAATTAGCTTTACTGCTGTAAAGACGTGCACTGATATACAACTATTTATAATGTTTTATTACAGAACTCACCATTAGTCAGCCGTTCTACTTGCCCATTATGAATATCCACACATACTAATTCCTTATAAGAGAACACAGAAAAATTAGAAGCAATAGCTTTTATTATGGAAACATAAGCAAAACAGATGGACATAAATGCTAAATATACAATATCAGCTGTTGCTGTCATATTTATTCCATTTCAATTACTAATAAATATTTGATTTCAACTTTTTATACATCATTTTACTTGACAATATTTTAATTCATTCTTTCAATGACTTATAAATTAAACCTCCAAATCTGTAAAATCCATTGAGGTTATTTTACAGTTATAGTGTACAAAATTTCCAAACGTAGACATTTAAATCACTAAACAATTTTGGAAAAAATTTCCAACCTGCTTGCTTTTCCAGAAAGTGTTAAATACAAGACAATTGCTGTCTTTAGTCCAACACCTGGATGGTAGGCCATTTAAATAGATTCCAGGAAATCCTCCTCCTGGTAATATATACAGATAGACACTTATTTTACAGACAGTACAAAAACACATAATAACATTTCAAAGCCAACCTAACATTCTTTAACAGTTCTTCTATATAATAAGTAAAGTTAATTTGGTAAAATAAATAATAGTAATAACACATAATTGGTGATAAATATATAATATTTTGTTATCAATCCTCACCCTAATTCTAATTTGTAAATGACTCATAAGTTTGATAAAAATTACACTTCAACAACTTAATCTAGTTCACACCATAACAGTTGTTGTTTGTGTAATTTGATAATATAAATAGCAACTACTGTGTCTGTCTTATCTCAACTAGTGTGATAAGCATGGTATTGGGTGAAAGGCCTCATTAGCAATAAATATAGCAGATATAATGTGGTTGATATACTGTTACACATTCTTCTATACTTTCACACTTAAGTTTTTAGAATCACAAGAATGAGTACACGCAGAGCATATCCAGTTAATTTCTATGGCTGATGTCACATAAATTCATTGTGAAAAGGGAGAAATATCTCATGTATCTACTTGATTCACAAAATTTTCTGGTGGTGGAGTCACTCATTCAGTTTTCCATCTAGTCAAAATTGAAAGTGAAGTTAAAGTGAACTCCTGCATGTGATAATCATGCCAAATCTTTTCATAAAGGCTCATAACCTTTGGTTAGAATCGTTCATCATGAGTACAGACCACACATAAAGTAAAAAAGCTAACACTCTAACGACATGTGAAGAAAAGTACTCCACAACAAGTCGGATTTCGTTACAAAGTTAAAAAACAAAAATAGAGGTTTAGAGACAAAATACAATTCACCAAAACCCACTACAGAGAGGGACACTTAGAGTGGTAGTGGAGATTGTTTGTTTGTTTAAGTGAATGACACCCCATACATACACCGAGTTAAATGACCGGGTCAAAGACACCTGTGGTTCAAGTATATCCATCTCTTATTATAAACTGAGGGAAGGTAATTAGTCAACAGCTCCTGCTACTTCAATTGACTACTTTTAGCCAACTTGCAGACTTGATTGTTACTCTTATTGCACATACACTACTTATTAACTCATAACAGAAAATGTTCTTTTTGATAAAAGAAAAGATTTTAGTTGTCCCATCCTTGGTCTACCTATCCCAAGTAGTGTATTCCTGTATATCCTATTAAAGGGAATAGTTATCTCACAATTAAAAAGATATTTGACTATTTGTAACAACATTAATTCTTTTATAGATAACGTTCAACTGCTGGCAAATGCATGAAAAAAAATAATGGATATATAGATTGGGAAATAAATTTTTTTACATTTTGTTTACATTAAATATTACAGGGAGGAGGATGGATGTTTAATTAATTATTACTAAACTATCAAAGTAAAGGTTTATAGTTCCAATTACCATCATTTTGTAATAATTATTTAAAGGGTGAAGGTTGGGAGTCATATAAATCTTGAAATATAGTGGTTTATTATGACTATAAGGTTATTTTAAAAACTGTCTTTTATGTTAAAATATTAGGGGTGACTGCATTCCCACAACTGGATGTAGACAACAAAAGGCAGTAGGAGTTAAGATGAGTTAAAGCACTCATAACTCATTTATAATTGGATTTTCTGTAGTGACTACCTAGTTTAACATTTGCATTTGGATCATGTCTGATAGATGGAATATTCCCAATGCTTTTGGATACTATAACCAAAACACATTTCCCATTATGAGTTAATAAATAATGACAAGGACTGGCAATGGACAAATTTTTCTGATTTTAGATTAGATTCTCATAATAGACATCTCAGTTATGGATTTTATACTAACTTCCATGATTTTTATGTAGTGCTGATTTGATCACCTATATACAATTAATGTAACATACAGTATTAGAATGGTTCATGTGATGACAAAATGTTCTTTAAACTTTCATTTCACTAATTCTGCTCTCAGTTACAACAACCTAACTATCTTATCTTTTATTTTTGGATAGATAAACTCATAACTAAATTTTTTTGCTCTTAGCCTTATGTGTGGAGTTAAAAGTTTTTAAATATAGGTATCTAATTTCCCAATCTTTTGTTGCTATTCAGTCACCATACCAGATATGTTAAGTCATTTGGATGTTAATTATTATAATCCAATTTTATACATACAAACAGATACACACAAGTTAGAATCAAATTAAGACCTGTAATTCTTAATCTCCAATTTATTTAACATATTATAGAGCATTCAGGTAAAAAAAAGCTTAGTTAGCAATGAGACCAGATTTTAAATGATGGACGGTGGAAAAGTTCAGTAAGTGTAGGTCACATTAGCAAAAAAATACAATAACTTGTAAAGTAACAGTAAGCTAGACACTACTGGTGAAATATAAGATCAGCTTTACCTAGAGAATCATTTACTAGATCCACAACCACTGTTGATTCCTTCGATCTCCAATCATACTGTAAATTAAATATCACAATACAATCTGCTTATTAATCTCTATCTGTTTAAGTTCATGAATAAAGCACTAATATGTACACAAACTTTACAGACAAAAAGTAAGTTCAAATATTTACATAATGATTTAATAAATATAAGTATAAAAGAAAGTTCTCTAAAACATTCTAATTTCAAGATAACTTACATACAGCTTTCAATGATTAATTTTGACAAAAACTTAGAAAAGTGGAACTGTTTGTTTGTTTGCAATTTTTATGCACAGATACACAAAGGTTATCAGTGAATAACCATCCATAGTTTTGAGCTGATAGCTTAAAGGGAAGGCAGCTAGTCAAAGTACCTACAAACACTTAGGTTCTCATGTTTGACTGAATACCAAGATTAATTTTCTAGCACACCCACACCCTCAAATTTCAGACTAAATGTTTGCAACAACAGATTGCAAACATGCTGATAGCTAGATTATATTCAGGTCAATGAGTTAAACTATTTTCTTTAATATTTCTGTAATTCTTAGTGCAATCTGCTGAACTTCATCATCATTCTAATTCATCAATAAAGCAGAAACGAAATATTTAAGATGTTACCTTTATCAGTCGACTTCCACTAAAATGTGGACCTCCAACCTGACTTTCAAGAAATACAAGATAATGATTGTCAGGACTAAATCGTGGAGAAAACACACATTTCTCTTTGTTGCTGATCACCACTAAACAGGAACATGGAATGAAAATTCTAAATCATTCTTTAACAATGATAGTAAAAATATCTGAACTTTGATTTGTCCCATTTAAAAACATAGCCAAGAAAAAAAAAAAGTCAAAACCATAATTCTGTCCAACTGTTATAGACATCACCACAGCCCTATCCATCAAACACCTTCATTATTATGTTTCTAAAACTTTAATTCTGTTGTTTCAATCTAATCTTAACTTCACAATATATATTTAAGATTATAAACACATCTGAAGTAATATTATGTTTAGGAATTTGAAATTCATTATATTCTTACCACAAGAATTAGTTTCAATCTCCTGGTAGTATAAGTGGCTCCTTTAGAAAAAGAAAGAATGAAATTTTAACTTCAACATGGTATATTTTGTCTCATTCATTCCACCACTACAAGTCACTACACTTCAGTTTTAACAAACTAAGTCCTCAAACCTCTAGTTTTTACAGATATCAGGTAACTATTGTTAGATTTATTCTTGATTATTACAACACAAATGCTGAATAAACAAATATGAATACATTGTTTTGTAAATATCACTCAATCAGTCAGTTTTTTGGACAAACTAAACTAAAAAATCATTACCGTAGGTTGGCATCCCATGATATTTAGTCTTAGAAGTTTATAAAGTATTAAAAGTACATAGTTGAAAAAAGCTTATCTTTAATATTTTCCAAAATTACTGATCTTTTTCAAATTATTATATTTTTAAGTTACTAGAAAAAAGGAAGTACGAAAGATTGATACCTTCTATTTTTGCAATAAACCAGACCTAGGCAGTATGGTTTTTCATCCCATCCCACACACACTACACCAGCATCATTAGGACTCCAAACAGCCTGATGATAATAAAAAAACTTCAAATAGCATCTGTTTCTATCATGATCTTGGTATAAAATTTTACTACTGCACCTATATATTTAGCTCCAATTTCATTTTCTGAAGTTATGGGTTTATCCATAGCACTTGTATACAGAAAAAGTTAAAATGATTTTACATAAAAATGGACTAAAGAAGTAGAAACTACAAGTACTTGATTCAATCAATTTGCCATATCTGAAGCCAAAAACTTGTTTTTCTTTCTTTTCTGTAAAAATAAATGAATAGATAATCCCTCTCTTCATAAAAATGCTTAAATGTTGTTACAGTTTGTTATATATATATATATATTTCTTTTTATTATCCTATATCAGTATATTTGTAATGTGTTACTTAAATTGAATAAAAAAGGATTACTTGCTTTGTTTTTGAGCAAAGCCACGATGTGCTATCTGCCTATCACAGGGAATCGAACCCCAAATATTAGTGTTGTAAGTCCATAATCTTACCACTGTCCCAGTGGGAGACAATAAAAAGGAACATGTCAATTTCTGTTAGCATATCTATTACTAATTTCCAATATTAACGTTTTTGTACTTGAGATCTGTAAACAAAACTGAACTCACACACTAGACAATATATGAGAAGGTTCACACGAGTACAAAAATCCTGTATTTATTAATTTTAAGTTCAGAATAACAAATTGGAGCACAATCAGATATTCTTGATAACACCACACTTATAAATCATTTCTTATTTAGTTTAATAAGAGTAAAACAGTCAACTTCCCCCCCCCCCCATATAGAATTGATCATGGTTAGTGATTGCTCTCACGTACCTTCACAAATCAGAGAAAACTGAGAAGAGAGAATAAGCTGAAATTTCGGCTGTTGGAATTTCTATAAGTGAACTAGTATGTTTGAATAGAAGTCTGTTGTTGTTATACTGGGTTTTGTCACACCTGTGTTGTACTGAACTATTATAGAAGATAATTATCTTGCTACACAAAGTAGTGATGCATCGTAAAATAATTAAGAACTTAACGTTTAAAAATGAACAATAATTTTTCATGTAAACTTAAGAGTAAAATATATAATTAAAAACTCTATACAATTACAACTACATGTTTTAGTGGAAAAAAAATTTCACCATCTTCTGGCCCTGGAATACCTGACCATTGAGATATGCACCCCATCCCTGAAGCGAGGCATCCATGAAGAGATGGATATCGGATGAGGCAGAGGAACACCTATCATTGTATGGTTCCATTCTAACCACCACTCATGATCGAAGATGTTGATCCTGAATAAGGAGACTGGAGAATTCAGTGGATCACTATTCATAATCCATTGGTGGTGTAGATACCACTGAAGAGATCTCATGTGTGCTCCTCCCAAAGGAATGAGGGATTCAGGTGATGCCCACATCCTCAAAAGAGAAAGAACCATCTGCACAGTGGTAGAAGAAGACATGAGTAAGAGTCAGACTATCTGTTCCATAGTATGGGGTTGGATGGGAGTTGGCCGAGCTTGACTGAGACTAAATGTTGAAAAAGACACCCAGATGGACAATATATTGTGTTGGAATGATAATAGATTTCTCAGCTCTGAAATAAAGCCTGCCTTGGTTTGTTTTGAAAGTAGAATCTGGGTGTGATGTTCTGCCAATTGACGAGATGGTGCCAGCAGTAACTAGTCATCCATGTAATGGTATGTGCACAGGCATAGAGAATGGAGATGATGAAGGTATACAGTAGTCACTGCTGCTGCTTGCAATGTCCTGACCGCATGGATATGGGCAGAATCTATTCTGGGTACCAATGGACCAAGGGGCTGATGTCAGAGCACTCAAATAAAAACAGCTGAACTATGACTGCCTGTATGAGCCAAAGAAAGTTGAGAAGCCAACAAAGACAGAAATGAATGCAGACAGGTGATATCAACCCTTGATTTCAAAGACTCTGGAACAGCCACAAAAATCAAGAGTCAGAGAAAGAGAGCCTCATATAACTCACGGAGAGGGGTAGCCGGTAGGAGAACGACCTCTAACAATGCATTTCTCCCCAACAACTCTTAACAACGTAACAGCCAAGAGACTAGGTAAAGTGCAAAAACTGACAATCAAACAAAGGTAGATGCTAACAATGGCCCCAACTCATCATCAAATTGACACGGTGATCGCCAAAAGGCTTCTGATAAAAGTTGGAGGGATGATAAACATCTCAGCACCGTAGTTAGTGTCAGACAAATCCTAGAAAATTGTGATCTATTCAGGTTGACCAGGAGCGGGTCTAATCTTTGAGAGTCCAAATTATGCATCCACCTGGCAGTGGTAGGCTAAAGCATGTTGTTCTGACAAACATGGCAGACAAGGCATAGCTGTCTCTTCATGTAACTGAGCAGAAAACCTCTCTGCATGAACCGCAATATCAGGGGATAGAGGGAGAACTAAGTAGTTGCCCTCAAACCTTTCCACCAACAAGGAAGGTGCAAACTCAAAAGCAACTGGGGAAAGACCCAAAACATCATATATTTGATGTACCAACTGAAGAAAGGAGATGGGGGCAGCTGATCCAAACTGGCCTTATGAGAAGCCAACTGAGTAAAGGAAGGTGCTGGAAAACGGGAACCTAAATTCTCTCCAAAATATCCAGGATCACCTTCAACTGGAGCCTCAGAGCCACCCAGAGAAACACCACCAGATTGAATATATGTCTCCATCTCCCTATGAATAAGGTCACAGACAGCCTCAACTTTAAAGGTCCAAGACAAACCATGGTTAAATTAGTATATCATTGTTTTCTCCTCTACAATTATGTAACATATTTAAATACTGGACATTTTCAAATTAGTTTCACATTGATATATACAGTTTTAAAAATCACAGGAAAGCTTTCAAAACTGAGTGAACTGGATAAATTATAATATATTTAAGTTGGAAGTTTTTAAACCTTGGCAGTACAAAACATATTCTTTTGATCTTCCAATAGTTTTTATTTATTCATCATAACATCCTTAAACATACAGAACCAAAGGTGAACAATAATGTCCTTCTCACAGCCATGAGGAGATAAGACTTGCTTTCAATAATCACTATCACAATTCATTCACTTTTTATACACAGACAATAAATTATGTGTTTAAACTGTTGCCATCACCAAAGTAATGCAAACAAAACTTTGATTGTTAAGACAGATAAAACTAAATATTAATTATCAAATAATTTCTCATTTCATTTATGCATATTGCCATATAGAACTATTACTAAACCTGTAGTCCACACACACTGCAGGTTGTCTGTGAACGTTCTAAAGGAAAGCCACGATGATAAAGACCAAATTTTGGTAATAATTAGAAAAAAGATACTATGTTTGGTTATGTGAAAATGAGGTTTTATTTGAAAATTTCATCAACTTACATAGTTATATATGTCAGTGTTGCTTTTATACATCATAGGATCAGCTTCTGCAGACAGACTTATCCAAGCAGAGGAGCCCACAAGATTATCTTTTTTAGGGAAAAATAATTGTTGAGAGCCACCAAGATAGGAATATAAAATAATAAATACTTGAAAGTACATTCTAAATAGCAAAAAAGCTCACCTGGGCAGAAGAAACACCAGGGGGAAGATGGTCAACTACAGTAACTGATCCTGTGCTTATATTTATCACACAAACCACTGTGTGATGTCTTTCTTCAAGTTGTTCTCCCCAGTTGTCTTCATACAAAAACTCAACCCCCTACAGAACAAAAGTTTAAAGTGTATAATACATATTTCTCTGTCTCTTTCATAAATAATTAGTTAACACAAAAATACAATTACTCACTGATATAAAAATGGTGATTCATGAAAACAAGAAACATGTATGTAAGAATATAAGAAGTTGAAACATTTCTAGCACATGGCATGAGCAGTAATAAGCATTCATCACTACAGTTGGTACCTAAGATATAGTAGAAACTCCATAAGCTTACAATAAAACATTCAGCTACTCTGTTAGTTCTTGAAATACTAAAATATACACTAACAAAACATGCACTAAAACCATTCCTAAATTTCTGTATTTTGTCCTTCTTAACTTTACCAAATTGTCATGCTTTTCTATTCTGTGCTATGTTTGTTAATTCTTTCCTTCTTGAAACTAAACAAAACAAAACCAAGTTAATATTATGATAAGGATTTCAGCTTCAGTTTCATTTAATTTGAAAGCTCTTGTTCAAGTTTTAGGCATATAGTTTAAAAGCTATGACAGATTTCACTTGGCACCTAAAAAAATGAGATTGTCAAATATGGAACAAAACTCTTTATGGATGTCTCAACAATGTTCTCAATCAGGATTGTAAATTCTCCATTAATTGGCATAGTTGACTAGAATTACACTGTTGGCAGCTTTCTTATCAACCCTGTTGGTAAAACTTGTATTTCAAAAATCAAACTTAGCATTACAAAAAAAAGTTTAGAAAGGAATTAATAATATTTCTAATTATAAAATGTAAATTATTATATTATATATATATTAATAAAATACTAATATCTATATTTTTATTAAATTTACAAGCCTAAAATTGAAGAAAAAATACAATTTTCTCTACAGGTTTACAAACATGAAAAAAAGTATAAATTTACTCTGATCTGAGCAAGTAAGCCTACATAGGTCATATAAAGCATTTAGAATGGCAGCAAATTAACACTTCCTTAAATTTAAAACTTACCTCATCTCACACTACAGCTATTACTCAACTACTAGGGTTTCATCCATTACCCATCTAAGCATTGGTCTGATTTTTCTTTCTTGCTCCAGTCTTTTATTACCCAATTAATTGCCCTTGGCAATATCTGTCTTGTGACACTCTCTACCTTTGTCAATGCACCCTATATCTTGGTACTGTATATAAGCACCTTCTTCTGATAATATTATCACTTTTTCAAAACTGATCCAATCCACAGCCTCTAATACCAGCTCTTAGTGGGCAGGAAAGGTGGTAGAGTGTGAGATAAGTATTATTAGAAATACATTTTCAATTTAAGAAAATGTTAACTTCTAAAACATACATACCTCTTCTTACACTACAGCTAGAATCCCACATTGATAAGGTGGAAGGGCCAGTGAGGGCATTACCCATACAGAATGCAACTGCAAAGATCATGGGTGTGCCAATAGGATATTAGCACCCTAGAGGGGAACTGCATTACATCCAAAACAAGAACCTAAATCGTGCACTTTGGGTTGAATTTGACATGATCCGTTATCACTATGGGCCAGCCCCAACCAGATAGCCGAGATTCCACTACTGAGGGTTGGAATTAAAGGGTCTTGGTCCCTTTATCCCACATTGGTGGGTGGGGCATTTGGACTGCAATATATATATATATATATATATATAT